ATTTAACCTAAATTCAACCAAACAATAAAAATGATAGTGTTAAATCCTACAAAAGTTAAATATTGTTCTTTCTCCATTTTGCTTAAACGTAATTTAGTCGAAGAAACGCATGAAAGGAAAGAATGACCGCTACCTTCATTGTGCACTCCCGTGACTTCCAATTTGACAGTAAAGTCAGCGTTGAAGGGGCATAGAAGCTTGTGGTGTAAAAGAGCCGAGTCGAGTCGAGTAGTAGCCTTATCGAGCTCGGCTCATCAGTCAAAAAACTTGCTCAAACTCGAGCTTGTGGGAGTCCACTCGGGAAGCACAACGTGCGAATTGAAGAAATCTTTGCGGAAGTGCTAAAGATTCCGTTGGAAGAAGAAAAAAAACTAGGTCATCGATCATCAATCCATTGGAGTGATTTTTTTTTAAGTGACAATAGCATGGAAGACAAGCAATAGTGGCGTACTACTGTACTAGCATGGAGGCGTGGAAGACAACAACACTAGCTTGAACATGCTTTTTTCTTTTATTTTTTTGGGAGAAAGAACGATATTAAATGTACTGTAGTACATTTTTGGGGAAAAAGAAAAAAAATTTGGGAAAAATCAACAGATATATTAATGATATTAAATGCACTACTGTAAATTTTTTTTAAACTATAACTTTTCAAAAAATTTTAAAATATAGATTATTTAATAAAGAATATTTTCTATACCTAAATATTTACTTAATAAATAATATTATTTTTTAAAGCTAAATATTTACTTAATCGAGCAAGCTCGCGAGCCAACAAGTCAAGTTTGAGCTCGAGCTCGAGGTTTGAGGCTCGATAAGCTCGAATCGTGAGCTCGTTAAAGAGTCGAGTTCGAGCCGGCTCGACTCACTTACACCCCTAACTTCAGGTGAAGCATGACTGCTACCTTTACTGCGAGCCGCCTCCAACTATATTAAATTTTTTATAAAGAGTCAATGGGTCATTTTGATCATTTTCTCATTTCAAAAATATATTTAATGCGTAAAAATGCCTCCTACAAGACGGCCATCAAAGTTTTTTCTTATTATAAAAAATCTAACCTATTCATACATGCTATCCAGAAAGAATTACAATCCAATCACCAAAGTGAACAATGTTATTTAATCCAATTGAGTAGCATTCACCATCAACTAACTCATGGGTGACTCATAATGAGGTTCAATGCATCTCCTCTGACATTTTGGATGAGTGCCTTAAACATAATTCTCTAAAGGAGAGTTCATCACAACCCTAGGGAGCTAATGATGATTGTTCGATCTAAAATTATATTCGATGTCAATGAGGTGATTGATTAAATTGATCATTTCTTTATTTAGCATTCATACTTTGAGAAACTTTAGATTTGTTTTGTTGGGATTATTTATTGTCTTTTTATTTTTATTAGGAGTTATTTTATTTCAATTGTATTATTGCTTTATTTGCTTGTAAGCCTAGGCCTCTCTCACTATAATCATAGGGCTAGGATGAGATATTGCTTGATTTTTGAATAAAATTATTATGATACACATATAATCCACAAGCCGACCCATTTGAATGTGACAACAAGAAAGATAGATAAACCTGATTTCACAAAAGGTTGGCCGTCAATGTCAAAAGTTTGTCGTCCATTTTAGCAAATCAATCGTCCAAATGCATCTGAAGCACTAGAAATGAGGGGGAGAGGGCTGCAGCAGGTTTTGTAAAGTTCCTTAATGGTGCATGCTTTCTCCTAAGTTTTATCATAAGGGTTGTTTGGTTAGTCTTTATTTAATAAAAAAAGGAAAATTTTATATAAATAAATATCCTTTAACCTGCTTCCATCCTTTTTTCTCTCAACCTTCTATCTTAAGACTGCATCTAAGAAACTCTCCTCCCTTTTAATCTCTCTCCTCAAATATCTTCTCTCCTCTTGAGCATGTCGTCTACATTGCATAAGGTTTACAAAAAAACTACACCACCTGCATAAGCCACATGTGCCTTCTTTATTTTTGTAGGTAAATTATTTCTGCAATTCCTTCCAAATATATACCACCTGCATAAGCCACATGTGCCTTCTTTATTTTTGTAGGTAAATTCTTTCTGCAATTCCTTCCAAATATATATATATATATATATATATA